TGTGTGTGTTTGTGTATGTGTGGGTATGTGTGGCTGTGTGTGTTGTGTATGTGTGTGTGTGTGTGTTTGTAACTACATGTACTGGATATAAATAGATTTTTTTTCAGAAAGATTTGAAATATCTTCGTCAACTACTGCAAATTCGCGCCGATGAGCCAAGTATATCTTGGCCGGTTCTGTTGGCCAAAGTTGATTTACCCTCAATTCTTTCACCTTATCATCCAGAAAGCGCCGAGAAATTCGTTGAAGAATACGAACAAGCCGTTGCGTTAGTCCACTTTTTTTTATTTAAAATACAAAGAGACTTATAAGATTCAGTTGAATTTGATCATTTACTTATTAAACGAAACATTTCTTTCTTGCTGTTGTGAGTACCGGATTATGCAAAGTTACTTTAGAATGATTTGGTGGAATTGGACGAAATTTGCACTCTGTAACAGCAGTACAAAACACATATTGTCACGGGGTTGTCTATGTGTGTGTATGTGTGTGTGTGTGTGTATGTGTCTGAGTGCATTTTATCCCGCACTTTTAACTCGAAAACCACAAAAGCTGGGCGGTTGAAATTTTGATAGAGTGTTTCCCGTCGGCGTGCGACCCGCAAATTTAAATTGAGACCTCCCGTGCCCTCGGGTAAAATACGTACGGCCCCGTGAAAGTCTTGGCGGAGATAATTATTATCTCCTAAACCACGGAAGCTAGAAAGCTCAAATTTTAGGGACTTGTCCCCTGCTTACGTGCGACCCCTCGAATTTAAATTCAGCCTTCCCGCGTGCTTGAATATCAAGAGTGGTTCCATAAAAGTTTTGGTGGAAAAATTATTATCCCTGGGAGCACCACAATACATTTGGTGTTCGTTTTGGGTACTCTTGATGTCAGTGCATTTTATCTGTGTGTCTTGTTCTGAAAATAGGCAGTTTCCTCTTCAAGCAAGATTGAAACCTGCGCTTGATTCCCTGCACATATGAAAATGCAGATGAACTTTCAGATTTCTTAAAACGTTTATTCAACCGGTAGAAAACAACGATGGCAAGAAGCCGATATTTGTCACCGATTGGGATGGCACAATGAAAGATTACTGCTCACAATATGCAACAAATCTTCAGGTACTATGGCAATTGGCTTTTGGTTTTAGTTTTAGAGTTTTGTGAGTTGGATATTTGCGAGATTTTGTTTATGGCTGGAAGATGTGGTAAGTACAAAGCTTAACAGGTTACAGACGTAAAATGGCATTTACCTCAGTTTCTGGTTTTGTCGCATGCTATGGATTTCTAATGCAAAACCATGGTTTATTTTGGATTGTCAATAATTGTCTCTAACAAAATTAATAGATGCTGCCCACGCTGATACCCGGAAAGATCTTGGTATTCATGGTATAAAAATACGGGTTAGAACATAATAAAAGATGAGTTTGTAATAATAATAATAGTAATAATAACAACGATAACAATGGTGATAATATTTATGGTAATAATAACAATAGTGACAGTAATAATAATAATAATAATAATAATAATAATAATAATAATAATAATAATAATAATAA